AAGTAAGCATAATTTCTGCTTTAGTTATACCACATTATCTTTGTATTTGACAAAATTGCACCAAGGCTACCATTAACTCCCTATGTGAATGTGGTTAAAGAAACTAAGCTGGATAAGCCCCAGTCTTTGATGAATTGCTATCATTTGCAGAGCCTTTGTTGAGAGCCTCCCCCTTCATCCCACAAACTCTGCTTCTCTTGCCCCCAATTGTGAAATCCTGGACAAAGATTGCTCTGAGTTTCTCTTCCCCAACTTAATGACAGAGAATTTTGCTTGAAATTTCTGAAAACCAAAACATTCAACAAAGCCAAGTGTTTTATGTAGTATCAGGCAAACCTGCCCTGTGTGTTGGATAAAATTTATCATCTTAGGCAAATGTATAATTAGTATCATTCCTAATGAGACAGAGATAACAAACTTTACGTCTGATGTGATTCTGCCAATAATTTAACAATGGGGCAGCTAAAAAAATGTCGTAGATCATATATTTGGTTATAAGCCTCTGAGAGGAACCAAAGTTTATCTATTCTTAGGCCCATCAAAGTATTCTTTGCATCCTGCAGCCTGGTGTGAGAATTTCTATTTTAAAAATGTGTGTGTGGGATATGTTCATGAGAATGTGGTGATGCTTAATTGCTCTCCAAATCTAGAGTAAATATTAACCTAGAGAAAAATTTCTAAGACATTAAGGCAACTGTTGTCTCTCATAAGCCAGAGAAGCCACAGGCATCTGTGGGCTGTGGGAGAGACCCTGCTGACGAATGGTGGCACTTCCATGTACCCTCTTAAATGTCTGTTGATACCCTCTGGACAAGCACCTTGCTCTCTTCTTCTTCTTTACAAACTTAGACAAACAAAATCAAAATCTTAATTTTAAAAAAATAAAAGTGACAAATCAATTGCAGAAAATGTGCAATGAAAAGTTTCCTCCCAAACTTTCTATTTCCTCATTCTAGACCTCATTTTCTCCACAGAGAAGACCAAGAAATCATGACTGGTAAAGACAGGAAAATAGATGCAGTATATTTCTGTAGCACTTAGAGATATCTTCCAAGAAAAGCTGAGGTTTTTGCTTCTTGAGTCATTGATTGATTCAGTAAATATTTGATTGTTCTATATCTTCAGCTATGATCAGCACACAAAAGATGTCCACCTCTCCTCACTACCCCTCAATTGAATAAGCAAATCATGGCTCAGTAGGGCAGGTAGACATGTCAGTTAAGCAACTGAGATAGAGTAGGATGAAGGATGTGCTGGGTGTTATTAAGCCATGTAGGAGAGAAATCTAACCCAGATACAGGAGAGTAGTCACATCTTTGGGGAGGAGAGAAACATGTCCTCTTAATATGGGACTTCTGTCAAGGCCTCTGCATAAATTTTTCTCCAGTCCCCCTGGATTTCTTAGTGGGTGTCTCACATTTGCTGTTTCTTTTTCTGTTCCGCCCTCCTCACTGTGGTGCTGTGTCCTATCTCTTTTCTGTTCACTGAGGTGCAAAACCACTGAGCTGTCACTGCCAGAGTCTGCAGAGGGAGCTGTTGCTATACCCATGACTCTTGTTTGTGTTGTTGGACTCATTGAGCCACACCATCTCTGAGAGCTAGACCCAGCACAAGCCTGGGCACTGAATGAAGGCTACTGAGCTGAGTTGAATTGCTGCTCATACCCTGTTATCCTGGGCCCTGGGCTCAAGCTTGCTGCAATTTTATTTTTTTTTTTTTTTTTTTTTTGTTTTTTTTTTGTTGGGGGTGGGTACTGGGAATTGAACTCAGAGTCACTGCACTAGTGAACCACATCCCAGCTCTAATTTGTATTTTATTTAGAGACAGGTCTCACTGAGTTGCTTAATGCTTCATCATTTCTGAGGCTATCTTTGAATTTTGCAATCCTCCTGCTTCAGTCTCCTGAGTTGCTGGGATCACATGCATGTGCCACTGCACCCTGCTGCCACAACATTAATTCTGAATGATGGCTACAAGTCAGAGAAACTGTATGCTCTCACTGTCTTACAGAAGAAATAGCTCTCCAAAGTTTTCAGTTAAATGTTTTTATTTTATTTTATTTTTTTTTAGGATCCACAGATGTCTGGGTAGTAGAATCTCCTGCTATACTCAGGAGGAAAAGAAATAAAGCCTAATACATTGTTGTTGGGTATTATTTGTGTGGCTTGATGTTCCTTTTCCAAAGAGAAATTCTTTCTTAAGACCATGTTTTAGTCTGTCATGCAAAATCAATCAATTGATCAATCTTTCAAATAATCCAATGACTTTGTTAAGTCAGCTCCCAAAATCTACATGTGGAATCGTCTAGAGAATATTGTTTAGAATCAATGATTGGTGAAAAGGAAAATTAGTGTTCTTATTGCAGGATGGCAGGACAAAAATGTTTGCATGGGAAGCAGGGGACTTATCATCCCTGCCTAATACAACCCTCACATACTGCAGCATTTCAGGTTCCCTGACTCAGCTTCTAGAAGAACTCCCTTTGCTCAAAGTAGATAGATACTGGATGGAACATCTGATAAATACTCTTGGATTTAGATCATTTCCCCCATTTAAGTCATGTGGAAACTGATGTAAAAGTACATTAAACTACAGAAACAAAAAGATGTAAAGTGAGATTCTGGCCAATATGACCCCTGCAGAGGAATAAGAAAAAAAAAAAAGAAAAAGAAAAAGAAAAAGAAAAAGAATGGCTGGCTAAGGTGGTTTTCCTGCAGGAAGTTTAGTTTAGTTTTTTTTTTTTCTTTTTATTTAAATATGGAGGATCAGGTCTATATGAAACTTTAAAATAGTATGACATTTAAAATACCCCCAAATATATCAATGACTTTTTAGAATAGTACTGAAAGATGACTTGCAATTAAACCTCAGTGATTGTTCTTATATAAAATACGTATTTGCATACTTTTCTGCCTGATGGTTTCTATTTGCAAATATCTAGACCACCTAGCTTGAATGACTCTTTTCCCTTTAGAACTGATCTCTTTTGGATTCCTCTGAACATAACTGGGCACATTTTAGATGCATAAAACATATTTGTTAAATTACATTGAATAAAATTTGGAATTAGATCTGCTACTTAGCTTAAACCCTTGGACTTCCAAAGAATAAATCTTTGTAACTCAGCAATGTTTTAGCTACAAAATAAGGAGTATCCAGCCTGGACACAGTTGCTGTCTTTTTATTATTTCTCATTTTGATGCTTTTCTTATGCTTTTGGCTATCTTATTAGTCCCTCCTGTTGAGAAATATTTTTCTTTAGCATAGTATCTTAATAACCATCAAGGTGGCTTACCCAGGGTTGGTTTCCTAATACTCAGCATGCCCAGGAATTATAATGTGGTAAATATCATGTGGGCCAAGAGACTGCATTTTAAAAAAATCTGTCAGTGACGGCATTCTTAATCTTTATATATATATATATATATATATATATATATAGAGAGAGAGAGAGAGAGAGAGAGACTCCCTTGGGAACTATAGCATGATTTATGATAAAATAGAAAGATTCACAAAGATCTTTCCTTATAGAATTAGAATCTTTTTAAAGATCCATATCAAAATTTGGAAGGCAGAGTTTTGTGATTTCAAAGCCATTAGTCTATTTTCAGAAGTGCCTTGTTTGATTAAGCTCATTAGTCTGGGTATATGGGTGAAAGCCATTGTAACTGAATTAATATTGTATAAAACAATTATTGTTTCTTATTAGCTTCTCTTTCAATGTGCTCTCCTCAGTGTATATTTTCCTATTAAAGAACAAATACAAACACAGTTGGCAACATCTTGTGAAGTATACAGTATGAGAGATGACATATTTTGGTTGCACTATGTGTTATTCTTCATTTATTTTCCATATAATTTCATGTATACAATCTTTCATTAAAACGTTTGATTATATTTATTTATTTCAGTGTTCCTTGTTCTTCTAAAGCTTTGAAACAGCTTACAATAATACATATGATATGCGATATATATATCCTTACCTGACAAAGTCATTAAGAATCTGCAAAATTAATTCAATGCTGATAAATTCTGGAAAGATAATAAATGCCTTTTATATTAGGGAATTTCCGTCATCCATCATTTTGAGCTTTTAGGTCACTAAGTCAACTCTTATACTTTTTTTCTGTTTTGGCACTGAGATAAGAAATCCTAGTGGCAGGTTAGAGGTTTGCAAATGGCTAATTATTATCAATTCCTGATTATCCTTGGGGGAGTCATTGCTGATTATCTTCTGCAAATCTTGCTTTCCTTGTTCTATTGACATTCAAACAGAATGGGTTGTAAAGTCATTTGTGGTTATTACTCAATACCTTTGTCTAATTTACTTTCCCCATGTAGCCTATCACCCAGCAGGGTGTCCTTTATGTCAAAACACTTAATTACCTCCACCAAATCAGTGAAGGTTAAAAACAAAACAAATAGAAAAAACAAATATGGCATATTTATAGCCTTTCACCTTGATTCATGATGTTTTTACCTCTTTGGCTGGAAGCTATTGGCAGACTGGGTTGGAAGTCAACAGGATGTTTCGATGGCATGGAAAATCTAAGGCATCACTTCTATGCTATCCTTGCACCTCCCCCACGGCCCCACCACCCAGGGGGTGATGAGACTGTCAATGTGGGAAGAGAGCAAGTGTGCCTGCCACTTGTGCTACAAAACCTTGACGTGTATGGTGTGTGAGAAGGCACTAATGTGTATGTATGTAGGGCATCTATTAAAGAGAGCAAACATTTTTTCATGTTAAGATGTGTACATTATATGTAAATTTGTGTGTGTCTATGAAAATAAATAAATACAAATGAATAAGAATTCAATTAGATACAAGTCTTGCCCTCTGTGGATGAACAGTGATGACCTATATCTTCCTGTATTCTTATCCACTGTAGTATGCTTTACAGATTTGAAGCCGATAAAGCCCACTGGATATGTGTAAATCTTTATTCCCCAATACCAGAATATTTTTCCTCAAATGAATTCTATGCTTCCTTTTGCAGCTGTGAAGCTTTTCAGGATAAGGGTCGAGGATATGTTTGTGACTAAAAGGTAAGCTTTCTGCGTTTTAAATGAAGATTTCATATCAGCCCCACCCACAAAAAAAATCAAACAGTGTTTCTCTTCTTTTTAATATTGCACTCATGAATTGGCTATGAATACTTTTCCATTCCTCGCTGAGGTTTTCCTTTAAGAATACCATGTTGGTTTGGATGCTGCTATTGCTGGTGACCTCCTTCCCTTCTTTTTAGTAGCACCATGCGGTCCTGGAAAGGGAAAGCTTGAAGTGTGTTTCTACTTCACCTGTGAGAAGATCTAATGTATCTCATCATTAGACTCCTGTGGAAATATACAATGAAAGTAGGGGATCTGGTTAGCGCCAGAGGCAAAGTACTACTAACTCATCCCAAAAGATTGCTTTTTGATTAAGGGGCTCTTGCTGTAAGGTGCTCAGCCTTTCTTACAGCTGATATGAACTGCTATTCTTGGCTGTGTAACCTAAGTTGAACATCTGATTTTTTTTTTTTTAAAGAAACAGCAATTATATTAAGGAGTTCTCATGTGAGGTATAATTCCTTGAAAATTTCAAGTAGAATTCAATAAGCAGGCTGAACTTTGAGCTGTACGGTTAGGCAGAAATTCATAAGGGAAAGAGGGTGGCAGGAGTCATTCTACCCCAAACATTTCATGGGTAAATGGGAGCATGTCAAAGACAGCTCAGACTAGCAATCTGCTGCACTTAAAAAAAAAAAAGAAAAAGAAAAGAAAAGAAAGGCAGCTAATGAATAGCTGAGCTCACAAAACAGATAACTTTTTTCTTCCCTCTTATATACCCTGAAGAGTTAAAATAGCTTGCCCTTAATTTTGTTAGGGGAGGGAGAAGGAAGCGAAAGGGAGCAGGGTTAAGACTGGAGCAAATATATAATTTATTGTCCAAACTGGGACACTTTTGGAGTTAAAGGTACTCTAATAATAATTACACCAGATAAAAGGCATAAATCCGGCCTCTCACAGACAAACTGGGATGTTTGGTGACCCCTGGGAGGTACAATTAATAGGGCTTTATGTCCCTGGTCTTTTCCCCTCACTGTGGCCACCAGCTCACAGTAGAAGCATCATTTCAATTGATGGCTTTTTCTTCTCCAAGGTTTCTGATCATAAACTCTCTGTGGTGCAGGCAATCTCAATTACACTTTGTGGTGGGCTAGGCTTTCCGGTCTTGGCATCCTGTTATTAAATTAACAAGCATTTTATTGTTTCTTTTGTGTATGGGCTTTTCATATTTGATACAATTGGAATGTGAAAAAAGAAAAAAGTATTTAATAGGGCAGCTAAAAAAGAACATCAAAGCCCACGATTTGAATTATTTTTAACTGTTAGCTATCTTTTGTTCTTCAGAGACCATCTATCTACAAATCCTGCTTCTTTTCTTTATATAATGATACTGTTTCTCGTTTTCACTGGGGAAGGAAAAAGGAAGAAAGAAATTTGTTGTGATTGTTTTATAAAAATCCCAGTGATTTTTCCTTCACAGTAGGACTTTTACAAGAATGGGATATCTGATAATTTTAGTACATGGTCTTTGTCTAATATGATAGTTTAGATGCTACTTAGAGTTTGACATGGAAGAGGCAAGTTTTTGAAGCAAGGATCATTGTGTACTAACATTAGGAAATTTACTTTTTAAATGGCAGCTTCTGGTCATATTTATTAAAAAAAAAGACTGTCATGTAAATGGCAAAGTTCACTTCAGGAAAGTAAAGTAGAAGTCAAGCTAATTGTTAATTTAAACATTGTATAGTCAGATTTCTTGCAGGCATTTTGGACATATTCTGCTTGATTATAGAGCAAGCAAATCAACCAACAAAATATAACTGTAGTAGAACATTTATTAAGAGATAATTAAATGCCAGGCTTTGTGCTAAGGGTTTTAAATACATCCCTCATTTAATCCTGACAGAAATCTTAGAGGTATGATTTCTATCTAAGGAATTAAAAAAATATATATATATAGAAATCCCCAGCAGGTAAATTACTAGGCCAAGTTCACAGAGAAATGAGAAAATGAAATTCCTATGGAGATTGTATTAAAATGATACAACTGCTTACAATTTATCAGTGAGAAGATTTAGGCACCATTTAAACATCAAAGTATACTTTTTTGTAAACAATTTCCATTTAAATTTTTGAACACTCAATGTTTATTTTATATACCAACTTCTTAGGGATTTAAAAAAGTCCCTAAAAAAAGTGAAAGTGAGAGAAGTGTCACAAAAAACGTAACTTTTAGCTCTTTCTTTGGCTACACAAGTCTCATCCTCATCTCCCTGTAGGAAAAAGAAAAAAAAAAAAAAAGGGATCTGGTGTTCTGTGACCAGGTTTAGCAGCTCTTAATACCTCTTAGTTCATTCTTTCCTCTAGAATGATTATTCACTGCTCATCTTTCCAGTCATCTGTCTTTTTTTATAAAGACCCTGAGAATTTTGCTTCCTTCAAAGACTCCATCAGCTTGGTAACTCCCACCACTAAATGAGTGTTGAATTAAATTGACTGCACTGGATGACATCTCTCCAGACCCTCGCCCAGCAACTGACTTTCCTGTCTCTTTTATATTGTTTGTTCTGCTTGAAAGAGAACTGGAAATCAAAAGAAAATAAAATGTTTGATAAATTCCTACATCCCATTATAGAAAACAATCAAAATGCATTGGCAATATCTGGGGTCATGGCCTCTACAAATGGTGGCTTATGACAAAGTGCCCTCTACAAATAGATTAATTATGAAATAGCTTCCTCCCCAGGTTGGGGCCCAGGTGTGTTTGATCACTTTTTTTTTTCCCCCACTGAGGGGCTGGTGCTGAGCCAGATATTCCCTGGGGAGCACAATCAAGGCTCTGGTATCTGTGAGAACATTTTTAGCTTTTGTAAACTAAGTCATGAAGGTACAGAAAATGTTTTCATAGGAGATCTAAGGATGTGATTTGTAAAACCACTTTTAAAGTTTCTCATATTTTGAAGAAATGATAACGAATAGTTAGTTAAAACATTCAGAGAAGCATTAATAACAGAATTTAACATCAGTTATATCTGCATGTGATTCCTGATCTTACCATTATTAGCTATGTATTATTTGATATTATAGAATATACACATGCTAAACTTCTAATTTTTAAAGGTAAATGTTTAACTTATTAATAAGTGTTACTGAGTAATGAATGAAATGGCAGTATTATGTAATAAAATGGAAATAACCCCAGTGCTAAATTCTAGTTTGAGAATGGTGGTCCATAACACTGTAAGATTTGCGTCACTTTTTTTGTCCTGTAGAAATGAAGAATGCTAGTCCTACTATTTCTTTCTGGTGAATGTGGCTTATAGCCCTACATCATGTTTGGAGTAAAGGTGGAAATGGCATTTCATGTATCAGAGTTGAATCTATCGTGTCTGTTGTGTTTATTCTATAAAAGGAACCCTTTTAATAAATATCTTTAATGGACATTGTGTTTAAAGATTTAAAGTTATGAGAACATTTGCTGGGCAATCTGTTTTTTATTTGTACAAGTTAAATTCTATCCATTTGCAATAAGCACTTTATTTGGTTTCTGTCACATCTTTCTTACAGAAAAGCTTTACAGTGACTTGTGAAGCTAATGACATAGGCAAATTATACAGAGTTAAGTGATAGGAAATATTTCTAAAAGACTGCCTTTATGAAATTGCTAATAAGTTGATTGCTATTTTCCATTAAATGTCCTGAAAAATAAGTGAAGCCTTTGGCATTTCAAACAAAACTGTTAATTACAGAATTTCTTCTATTCTATGCAGAGATTTCTATTCCATTATCACATATCTGTGATTAAAATATGTGCAGATTCATTCTGATGTGCACAAAGCATTGTTAGAAATATTTGCTGGGCATTCTTTTGAAACTAAGAAATTTGCTAATATAGTGAAATTATTTATGGCAAATTTTGATGAATATGCTATATAAATGAAGAAATTCTTAGTCCTATCCCTCACTTAAATTAGCAATGAAATTCTTTTTATTAGAAACCATAGCATTATTTTATACACACTGTTATTTCACATTTACCATTAGAAAATATGTGAGTTAGGTTTTTAATATCAACATCTCTCACCTTCTTTCTAACATTCATTTCTGAACATTCATGGTTCCAATATAAATGATACATAAATGAAAGAGGAAAAGAAGGCAGTATTGGATTTACGGGAGATAGAATTAGAGTTTCTTGGTTGACTGGGTTGGGATGCAGCTGTGGTCCTCTGTAGCACGGCTTGCCACTCAGGGAAGCTCTGTCATGGGATTATAGTGCTATTTCAAGCTGTCTGATGAGGGGCTTTTAACTCAGGACATCTAGGTATGGCAATGCCTTCTTCTCGTCACGGTTGCTAAAAACACACAGTATTTTGTCAGGCTACAGAATGTTTTAATTCCCAATGCAAATCTGGGTGACATGTTTGTTATGCTAGCGGATATACCTGACAGATCTTATTCTGAATTTTCCAGGAAAACATACAGGCAGCCATTTGTGGGATATCAATCCTTTTATATGAGATGTCTTTTAGTAATTTGGAAAACACTTTCAAACCAGAGTTGATTTGGTAATTTTTTTTAAACTTGCAATTGGTGTTTTTTATAATTCCTAGGGTAAAATCATTTTAGTAGATATAGTTGCTAGTTCTAAGAATGGTTTTATGGTTTGCATGAAGCAGTAAATAAGAGTAAATGTGAATGAAAATAAACTTTCATCATGCTTTTATTAACCTTTAGACATACACTCACTGAGTTTTTAGTTACTTACACGTATGTATACAAAATGTGTAAAGAATTAAGGTTTATACATTCAAATAACCCATAAAACAGAACAATTACATACACATGTTTCTGAAACCATAAGTCATAGGTGTTCACAAAAGTGTTCTGAAGTGCATTCAGTATTTGCTGCAAAAATAGATATTAAGAAAGCTCTCCTTGAGATTTAAACTCCATTCTTTATTTATAATGAGATGTTACATTGCCTTTAGCCACCAGAATACAAGTTCAAAATCAGGTCACTCGGATGTGAGGAAACCTACGTGAAATGAATTGTTGGTCACAGTATTTAATAACGTTATGGTCTTGACTGTGTATGCAGTGTCTCCAGGTAATAAAGTTTCTTGGGTCTAAAAGCAGATTTTAGATCATATTACACTGTGCCCCAAATTCTCTATTTCTGTTTTTAGAGTTAAAGGAAGGGAAGATGTGAGTTAAGCTGGTTTTGAAACTTTTTATTAGTTTTACTTAGTGCCGCTACAAAGATTTTTAAATAGAAGTTCTCAATTACAGTTAGTATTTGTAAGATTTCAGCATTGAAACATACTTCTCAGTAACAAAGGGTATTTGTAAGATTTCAACAGTATCCTCATTTCTTTCTCATCCATTATATATTTCATTTGCTTTTGTTTTATTCTTATGTCTTTATTTTGAATGTATCACCTCCAATTTAGTATTTATTTTCTGAGACTGTTCTATATGCATAAGTGTAGGAAGGACTAGAAGTACAAATCTAGGTGGGAATAGAGTAGAAATGAGCATGCATCCTTTTACCTTTTCATTGAAAAATGCAACAAGCATGTTTAGAACACAATAATCTTATTTGAGTCAATTATTATGTTTGTTCAATTAATACGTTTGGATTTCCTGGCTCAGGAGCAAAATGTGGCAAAGTATTTAAATTTCTGCTTGCAACCCTTACAGTATGGCATGTAAAAAGAGGCTTATTTTGTTTCAATTTGCAGACCACTGGAACATAGCTTCCTTTTAATGTAGCTACGAGAAAGACTAAGCATCTTGCCTGATTGCTAGAGGTGAGAATTTTCCTACACTTCATAAACTTATTGAAGGAAGATGGTGAACTGACTGTGGATGTTCTGCTTTCTTTTGAATGTTTTCACTATTTTGTAAGATATTAAGGTATATTGTATTTTTCTATTGGATCATTTGCCTTTGCGAAGATTCTTTTCTGGTTATTATAAAGTGTCTGCTGGAATGCTAAGGGATATCTAGGTTAATGTATTTCTATTTCAGTATCCAAATGACAACAACAACAAACCCTTGGAAGGCTTGAGTTCACCTCTTGGGTGGCAATGATTCTGTAGGAGAGACCACCTGCTGAAGAGAGCCAGGCACTGTGCACGTGCCTGGGGAATGGAAGAGATGGGCTTTAAACAGGCTGTAACTGTAAAAGAAACAAGTTTTCCTCTGGGAAATTACTCAGAATGCAATATGAGCATATTTTCTCTAATTAAATAGATTACTTTATGCCTTTGGCACTTAAAAGAAAGTCCTCAAAGATTCACAGCCTCCTGAGTTATATGCATTTCCCAGGTTAAATCTTTGGATATTAAATCTAGCCTGTTTTTTTTTCTATTTTATTCCTTATTCATTTCCTTTTTTCTTTCATGGTTCATTTCCTTCTCTCTTGTGTGATCTATCCTTTTTCTTTCATATCCTCAACAATTCTGCACAGTGAATGGACCACTTGTCATGGTCTCCTTCCATTTTTATTTCTAGGGTCAAAATGAGTCACTACACACTCTCTTTTCCCATGAGACTCATTTTAGATCTTTCCTATGTACCACTTTTAACTGTCTTCCTTCAGGAATAGCAGGTTGCCCACATGTCCATCCATCTGACTGTGCTGTGGGCATCTTGGAGGAAAAGGTAGCATTTTTTTTTCCTTCCTGCCCTCTGGAGTCAGACATATGGTTTTGAAAATAGTAGACACTCAAAGAAGTTTTAAACTTCAAGTTCATGGTTAATTCTTATGAGTAAATAAGCCCCACAAATCTGTGAAGAAAATCCTTTCTTTTGTTTAAATTCCCAAACTTCATATTTTCCTTTTGCTTTTTTGTATCCACTATTTCATCTTCTGTTCATTCACTCATATCCCCCTGTGTGTCTCTTCAGAGAAGAGCAGAGAGATCAGTGCACTGGATGTCTCCATACTGCATGCTGCAGGTGCAGGGGGATTCACTGGTCCCTAAAGAGACCCAAAGAGAGACCTGGGCTGAGAAAGAAATTGTATTGTACTAACAAGCAATCATTGGGAAATCATTTTAAGACTTTGACAATAATTTCCCACAGTTGGCTGTCTAGAAAAGGGAAAGGGGGGGAAAGAGAGAAAAAAGAAACAATGTTTTATACTGAATACCAAATAATTCCATATGACAATGCAAATCAAGTCTAAATGCTAGAAGCTTAGAAATTAAAGCCCACTCAGCCATTAGGTTGTCTATCTTGATCAAGAAGGCGTGGAGAGTCATTGCCTCAGAAAAGCAATGCGGAGGAAATGTAGAAAAGGAATTTGAAGGTGAGAGGCTTAAAATAAGAGCATTTTGCAGTTTGTTCCAAATGAAAGCCACTGCAAGCCAGTAACAGAGCTAATATATCACTAAAGTGGGATAAAGTAAACAAAATTTTAGATCAGGTCCTGCCATTGAATCCTGGGGAAAATTATCTTATGAAAGGATTAAAAGAAGGAGACATTAGGATCCTAAATAGCATGGCTTTATGAAATGGATCACTTAGAAGTGTGGTTTGTGGTTTCATTTTGGATGACTTGTTGGCATACATACATACAACAAATTGCTTTGAGTATTGTAACATGCAGTTCCAAGGCCTCCTGTCTTTGGTTTGTGTTTTACATAAATGGTTTCTATGTTTGTGCTTTACTGATGGGAATTCATTTATAACCTGCTTCAGTGAACTTTTTGACTGTCTTTTTTTATGAACTGTTTTTAAGTTTATAAAAATTTTTTGAGGTTTCTGTGTCATGAAAGACTTTTTTCAAATACTACATATTATAACAGAAAATTGCATAGAGAAAGACAACTGGAGTCAAGGTTAGATAAAGAAAAACAAAACTGTTATGTTTCTTTCTCCTATATTTCTTTTTTTTTTAAAGAGAGAGTGAGAGAGGAGAGAGAGATAGAGAGAGAGAATTTTTTAATATTTATTTTTTAGTTCTCGGCAGACACAATATCTTTGTTGGTATGTGGTGCTGAGGATCGAACCGGGGCCGCATGCATGCCAGTCGAGCGCGCTACTGCTTGAGCCACATCCCCAGCCCTCTCCTATATTTCTTAAACCAATTGGAAATGGGCACTGGTTTATTTTGTAATATTGCAAAGTCTAGGTTCAAAGGAAAATTTACTGAGAAAAATAAATGGAAGTTTTCAACTTCTAAAAAAATTAATGCAGTGTACCAAAAGACAGATACTGACTAGAGTTTGCACAGTTGGTAAGACATTAAGGCCAAAGTCAGAAACCTATTTCCAGCATTATCTGTTGACCAGGTTTTAAGAGTAACATGGTCAAGAGGAGTCACATTCTAGCATCTCGTCTTACCACCAGGTACATGAGAGCAAATTGAGAATTAGGGGGAAAAAAAAAAAAAAAAGCTCTTTCTTTCTTTCTCCCCACTGGGCACCATGGGTAGATAATCACAGCTTTTGTACATGACTTCACATTCTTTTCTTCCATGGTTGATTTTATTTATACCTCTGTTCCACCTCATTCTGGGTGAGCTTGGTGGCCCCCACTCCAGCCTCCCAGTAAATTCAGCTTCGACAGCTAAAGCTAAAATCAAAGAAGCTTTAATCTTATAGTAGACACTTTACTTATTTTTAATAGACCATTGAGGCAATATACCTTCACAGAGATTAAATAGCTATTTACTCTAGAAAAGCTCCATAAACAACCCATTTGCTGCTAGCACTGGTCTAGATTTCTGTGTACATCTTCTGAGGGGCTCCTTTTCAAGTCTCACTTCTCCCTTGAAGTCTTCTCTGGCTGTTTGTTTCATGAGATTTCTCCTTATACTGAAAGCCTGCAATAATATCTTTGTTTTAAGTAGTAATAATATCTTTGTTTTAAGTACACAGTTAATTACAAAATAATAGCATGTCTTTTATCTCAGTGTCTAAGAGAAATCTCATAGCTTCATTCCAGAGGAGACAGGCATTATTATCATTATCAGATATTTAATAAACATATATTCTATACCACCTGAGTTAAGTACTGTACATGCAAAATAAGGAAGACTTTTAAAAAGCTTATATTTTAATAGGAAGAACAGATCTATAAACAAAGAACTTACCTCCTATACAATTTGATATGCTGTGTCATATTGGAGAGAAAAAAGTCTGATGATTTCTACCCTCAATTAAAAATATGGAAATTTCAAATTTCCCTTCAGATTCTTATTTCTGATTTGGAATTGAAAAATGACAGAAATGTTTGTTATTGTTCTTGTTGTATGTTTTTAAATAAAAAACTAAAGGCAAAGTCACTTAATGCATATCCACAGAAGTATGAAGTAGAATATTATGCTTAGACACTACATGGACTTCTGGATTTCTGAAAGAAAATGACAGAGAATGGAATTAACTCGAGAGGGGAAAATAGGAAATGAAGCTGAACAAGTCATAGATGCAATCATGAAAGACCTTCATGTCATGCTGCGAACAGCTCATTAGGATTAGTCACAATGAGAGCAGCTAGAATGGCATCTGACAGGAAGGAAGAATGCAATACTCTGCACAGCATTTGTAGACAAACCTTCGAAGTCCTAAAGCCTGGGGCCACTTGGTGTCCAGGTGCGTGACTTTCCAGGATTCCCCAACTCCTGCAGGTCCCATGTTCCCAACCCACAGAATAGTGATTGAGATGCAGGGTGATGATCCTGAATCATCAGGGAAAATAAAAATTATGTACAATCAGCTATCTTTAGGAAGTCACAGAAGTGTGTAATAGGGTTTAAAATGCCATCAAACAGTGAATATTAGAAAAAGTGTTTTGGGGTGCTTACAGGTGTGTCAGTTTGTAAATGTATTCAACCTCTTGTTCTTTAACATGGCCAGTTATTTTAGGTAGTACTGCAGTCTACCCTCTTTTCATATCCACAGTAGCCAAGTTTTGGCTTTTAGCATTGAAGTTCATTGTTGACACATACTTCATCTCATATTTCCCTATATCACTCAAGTCAGTGCTGGAAACACTTTAGCTCTTTAACCAATCTTTTCTGATTGTTCCTAGACTCTGGTTTACCACTTCTGTACTGCCTATTGCCTCTATTTTCACTCATTTATGGGACATCTCAGGACAGTCGCTGAATCATTCTATGAGGCATCCTACAAAAAATAAATCCATTAATGTACCCTATTTTGCAGAATACTTAGTTCCTAGGGAGTTACTGGGCAAAGATGGCATGATGTTGAGGAAAGAGAAAGAATATCAATATAGGACCCAGAAAGCCTTAAGATTTAATGCTGCCTGCCATTCACTGGCATGTGGCCTCCATCATAACACAATCTTTGAGAGTCTCAGTTGTTTTTCTCTCCTTTTTCTTTCTTTCTTTTTTTTTTTGATATTGCGTTAGATTTATATTCATAAGAATATTGCATTTTCCTGTCTAAAAATAGAATTGACTTAGTATTCTTTAGTGTTTTCCTGTTTCTTATTATATTTTGTGTAGTCCTTAAATCTATTATTAGATATTTCATAACTTTCTTATTGTCAAAGAGACCTTTCTGAGATGTGTATTTTTGTGGAAGAAGTAGATAGTTACGTAATTTTTTTTTAAATCAAAGTCTTACTAAGTTTCCCAGGGTAGACTTGAAGTAGGGATCCTCCTGCCTTAGTCTTACAAGTAGTTGGACAGCAGGCGTGTGCCACGATATCCAGCCCCAAGTTCTATAATACAGCAAAGATAATAGCTACTTCTTGTGGACGTGGCATGGCATAACAGATAACACCCAGTTTCTGTAGTCACATGGCCTACACGAGAATCTTAGTTCTGTGCTATGCCTGCTAGTTAAGTGTCCTTCTGGAACCTACTTCACCTATCTAAGCTTCCAGTGTCTTCATTTGTGAAGTATGGAGAGTATTTTGACACATACAATAGTTGTAGGGGTTAAAGGACAGATTCTATTGCATTGTCTGATGGTAAGTGCTCTTTAACTGCTGTTTTACCTCTGGTACCAGTGAGATAATTGTGCGTATCAATGAGACAGTGTCATTCAGGGGTCTCCTTGAGGGTCCTTGTAGCACTTTTCTACCGCAAAAGAAATTCCATGATTATCATCTTTATCAGTCGATTACAAAGGATATCCTAAAGATACAAATAATGTGCTATATGAGATAACTAAAGCTGAGGTCTGGAAGGGTCCTGAGCACAGGAGCTTCTGTCTACGTGGCACTGGAGTGCATGCATCATCCTCCCAGCATCTGGGTCTGTTCTTACCTTCCTGGAAGCCCCAGCATGTTCAGTTACCTTCAAGCTTCCTTCAGTTTCTTGTAGTGTAAAAAGACAATAGGGATGAAGATTCTGCAGAACACCTATTTTAAATGACAGATTATTTTTGTAAAGCACATAGCAGAGAGTCTAGTACAAAGTAGGTATTCAATAAATTATAGCTACTAATAATTTAAAACCACACTTAAGAACATTGTGTTTTTAATAATACCTAAAAAAGACATGAAATCCTTTTGATAAAAGATGAATGACAACGAGCAGCTCACCAAACATGAACCCAGACTACTATATATTTTTTCACTAAAATGGGTACCAAGAGCCTCTCACCTTGTCCTAGGTCAACAGTTTCCTACAATGTTCTGAAATAAGATAATAGAAAATATGTTTTGACTTTAAATATTTTTTAGGTATTTAAATATGACAAGCTTGAGATAAACAGAAGTAAACAGAGAAAGAAATAGTGGACTAGCAATTTAAAGCATAGCAACAGAAACCAGTGGAGAAGAGAATCTCTGACAACACAGAGGAGCTGGCAGGCTGAAAGTTCTGCAAGGGAAGGTACTGAGGAACTGATGGTGGAGTTAGTTTTCAGAGGACACAGTCTCTAATAGCAAACTTATTTTAAGCATTGTTCTTATTTTTGTCTTTAATTCTTACTACAAATTTAAAATTTCTTGGCCATAATCACTGTCTTGTTCTAATGCCCCATGTTTTTCCTGTAGGAACACATGGCACACGTGAACAAGATTGGTCACTTTTTCTCCCCCTGATATCTTTAGTACAAATGCATTTTTATGTCTGCGCTTCTAGAAGGAGTTTTTTTTTCTTTTTTTTTTTTGACATTGATGATTAAGAATGGCAAAATGACACCTGGGCTTCTTTTTCCTGGTCAAAAAGAGCAAAGTACATATTAGTAGTGACTGCCTATTTTTAAACCCCTTTTTCTTTGTCTGTCGAGCTGTCTGTAATCATGAGAATGGAAAATAACTTTGAAAGCTCAAACTCAGTGGGGAAAAATGAGCTTTAGTGCCTGAATATGGCAAAAGGACTGGCAGTCAGGAGAGCTACTCTTTTGAAACCTAAGTTTTTACTCAAGGTTGTAAAGCTCTACAAAATGTACCACCACATAGTATAAATCCCAGATTGATCTTCTCGACCTGCAGCTTTTCAGGTAAATTTTGTCACATGGCTAACTAAGGAGAGAGGGCATGATTAGTTACTAGGAAAGAGAGGGGAAACAAGAAAAAGAGGAAAGGAGGGGAGAGATTTCCTTTAAACCAACTTGCTTCTGCTCTAGCTGGACTCAATTTCATCAATGACCCCAGTCTTGTTGCCTCAGCAAATTCGCCCTGTATATTTTGTGCATTAAAAAAAAACGGTGCTGCATGTTTGCCCCCGTTTGCTTTTCTTCAATTTTCCCTCACGGTCTTCATTCTGTCATCTGTGCCAGACTCTGTGAAAATACCTTAACATTCTTTGCAGGCTTTGAAGACTTTTTTTTTTTTTTTAATATGTTGAACTTAATCTTTTCCAGCTTCTTTTCTATTAAGGTTGGATGGAGGTTTCAGTTATTTTTCTTTCTATTTCTTTTCTCCCACTGCTGCATTTGTAGACACACTGTCTCGTTGGTCTGTAAGAGGTGATGTATTATGCATGTCTTTTCTTGTGGATTGGGGTGGCAAGAGCAAAAAAAGAGACGGTGAGCTATGAGAGGTCACATGCGGAGAAACGCCCACTGGTGACAAGGCTGACTAGCTGCGGTGGATGGTCCAGAGGGGGCTGGCAGGGGCGGGATTCAGAAGAGAACATTCATTTTTCTCTCATCCAGGAGCCTGAATGAAGAGCAATCTTTTTGTTTGTTACAGTGATGGGTAATTTGGAGCACTTCCCTTTGCATGAAGAAATTTGCTATTCTAATCAAAATCTCGTCCCTTTCTACAAACCATTATAAGATACTTATGAAAATAGGCAGATTCAGATTTCCTGTTTGAATTTTTGTCAGCTTTCACTTTTATGCTCATTTGCAGAATCACATAACTATGAAAGGCCAATTAGCTCTAAGTCCCGGGAAAGTGACAGAATAAATTGCTTTCTTCCTAGCAAATCAAGAATAATATTGTGGGTGCAGTGCAAAAGTGTCCACCCAGAGATTTTAGTTCATTTTATCAATCTAATAGAGTGCTTTCGGCCTGTCTTCTGTGACTCATACTTCCAGTATCCCCTTTCCTGTCAGAGCTCTTATATAACACTCCTCTACTTTTGTGCTGAGATAGGATAAATCTGTAAATTTGAGCCGTGTGTTGGTCAAGATGCTTAATGTGGAATAGACCTCTCACCCCAGTCAAAATTTATTTAAGTCACATCAAAGAATTCATAGAATTCTTATTAGCAGGGTTGACTGTAACCAAATTGATATCCCTTAATGTAGCACAGTGAGCACCCAAAATATTTTTCCAAAGAGAGTGGCTGGGATGATGTCACTAATAATTGCAATAGAGAGGCAAATATGACTGGGAACCAGAGGACAAGTGCAGTTTCCAAAATCAAGCCATTTCAAAAGAACAGCAGATTACAGCTTTTTAGGGGAACTGCTCCTCCTGGCCAGGCATATGTGAAAATTGCTTCCTGTCTCCAAGTTTCTCTCTGTGGCTCTGCTATATTTTTTGAATACTTCGCCCCCAAGTGGCCTAGAGCAACTCTACCATGCCTGGGAAGCTCGGGGCACCCCAAAGGAAAGAAACACAATTCTTCAAGCTTGAGATGACCCCTGGGAACAAGGCTGCTGGAACAGAGGGCTTGCCCATCACTAATAGGACTAGGACTTAAGGTGAGTGTTGTCCCTGAAGGAGTGAGACATCTCAGGTTTTTCTCTGAAAGGACACTGGGGGTGTATTCATTATACTGTGAGGTATTCTTGGTGGCGTTTTGGGAAGAAAGACAAATTAACGAGGGGACTTTACTTATTGAATAATTTTGTTTGTGTAAATCCATTAGCTCTGACTGAAATACAGTGAATTGTTAAATGTTCCTTGTTCACATGCAGGGCTACATTGGTGCATATGAATTGTATTCAATCAGTGCTATTAAAATGAATGACATTTATTTACCATAGCCAGGTACTTCAGCTGCAGCCCAATTTTTGTTGTTCAGGAGAGTGGATGCAAGATATTTGTGGAGTTTTGTTCTGGATTTTCATGCAGTTACACACAACATTTATATTAATACCCCACAATTTGACATGATTAGTGTCATTAGGACGAATTCCAAAGGGATTAATGAGGATTTGCTACTTGTAAGGAGCTGTGGCTGTGCAGAGGCTGCCACTGAACCCTTCCAGGGTGGCCTCATTTTGTCGGAACTTTTGGATTAGAGATACTCAATAAAAACATCTGTAAACTGTTATAAGATTTACATTCTCCGCCCTGTTCAGGATGACATTGCTAACTCTACTGCACTACTGGGGCTCATTTAATCTAGCAGTTGTTTCAGCAAGCACTTCATAAAAAACAATTATTGAATTAATCGTGATGTTTCCAGTCCTGAACTCATTTATGCTATCCCCTCCACCTGTAAACTCCTCTCCCACTTGCCTTGTAGAAGGAAAACTGCATAATTTCACAGCCTATAAAATATGTGCTGTTTTTGTTATTAGAAGATCTATGACAGGAACTCTATTGGTAGGGAATGTAGTGTTCCAGTGTCACTGTGTTCTGCTTTGGGGCAATTAAACCTTGTCAACTTAGTAGGACACAAACTCTGTGCTTACCTCTCAGTGCCCTTCTTTGAAAGGCTCCTTCCACATGCCCTCCCACATCAATTCAAAAGTTTACTGAATGTGTTCTTCTTCCAGTTATTTTTAACAGCATCAGAAAAAAAACCTTCTCTGAAGCCTTTATACATATTTATAAATAAGAGAAAATGTTTAATCTCTCTAAATCTCACCTTTTTTTGAGTCATATTTTTTTTTTTGGATTGTAAGAACTATTTCCCAAAACCCTCTATGGTTGCTGAGCATCACAGTTTCTAAAGTTTAGATTTAAGCAGTATCCTAAGATGTATACTATATGTGATGAGAGAGAAGAACTACAAAGAGAGACTGGACTGGCAAAGGCATTTGGTAACTGAAATGTCCGAGACCAGAGCCCAGTAAGTTCAGGAAGACACAAATGAGTACCTCCATTTGATCTCTAGGTGATGGGGAAACTTTGCTAGTTAAAGCAAACCATCTAGTAGCTTAGCATTTTCATATTGAAGTGTTTCTCTGGTACCTGCAGAACCACAAAGCAATCAAGACCACATCCCCGGAAATTCATCATTAACTTGTGCTAAAAGAATGTGTTAGTAATTTAAAAAGTATAGGTTGAATCCAAGCCAACCATTCTAGTGCAGAAGTGTATCTGAGGGTAAACCATGCATACTTACCCAAGTGTGATTCGAGAAGGGGTGTGTCAACAAACAGGGAGTGAGAGGAATCACACAAGAAGGTTCATCTAAATACAACTGTATTCCTGTTTCAAAACAGGCAGTGGGATTTGATACAGAAAAATTCAGTTCATCTAAACCTTTGAAGAACTGATGGTCTACTGGCCAGCTGACTTCAGGTCTCACTACAATGAAGGCTCGGAGACAACATGCATCCTGGCCAACAGCAGTTGCCAATTCTAATTGGAACCTGTCAGAGTATTCCTGTACTGTGGAGGGATACAGGGGGACAGCAGTGTGACTCCCTCATCTGATGCCTGATTAAAAACACAGACATAATAAGGGGAGTTTTGGGGGGGTAATAGGGCTATTTCGTTTCCTCACTGTTGTAGTAACTCCAATTCCTACATGTGTTAAAACACATGGACCTGTATGCCAGCAGGAATGTTTTACTCTACGTAAATTCAAAAATAATGACACAAAGAGTTATACTCAAGTTGCAGCTTAGGATAATTCTGTTGCATCTCACAGAAGAATAATAGGAACTTGACTCATGGATAAACACAAAAGCTAAGAGAAAAAATATAATAAGATATGGTAGAAACAATAATTTTATTTTCACAAAAAAACATTAAAATAAGAAGAAATTGAATGTGCAAAGTTATTTGTAAAGATGCTTCATCAATTTACAAATGAAAGCTAACTACTTAGACTCAGATCTTTTATAATGTGTTCCCACCTCACCTTTCAGACTACATCTCCTTTTATAGGCCCCGAAATATTTTATCTGCAGTTCAGAAATCTCAAAATTCTGAACACTGAATGTTTTTCCACATCTCATTTGGTGGCAAAACCTGATCTGAACTGACACGATGCTTTTTATGTATGTCACTTTGTGTGAATATTTGCATGCTTGCTGTAGAAATACCACTGTGTTTGATTACTAGGTGCAGCCTAAAGCCCATGGGGTATGTTTTAATATACAGCATGTGAACTGAATTTCTGTTCAAAAATCTGAAAACTTAGAATTCCAAAACATACCTGACCTCAAGGGTTTCTAGTAAAAGATTAGTAACTGCTTTCAAAAGACTGTTTCTGAACAAAAATGATGGTACTTCATACTTCTCCTGATGGTATCATCTGTTTATGCTTTGCCACCTTTGCTAACATCACTGCCTTTATTCTGGAAGTACTATCCTCCTACCTCAGCAATGTGACAGCTAAGTTTTAATGGGTTTCCTCCATGAAGTCTTCTCTATTCACTCCAGATGAGCTTGTTAATTCTTTTTTTTTCCTGATTTTTTTCCATCTTCTTCTGTATTGTGATTTTTCTCCAGTACTGGGAATTAAACCCAGAGGGCACATTACCACTGCGCTGTACCTACAGTCCTTTTTATTTTATATTTTGAGACAGGGTCTTGCTAAATTGCTAAGACTCTCACTAAGTTCCTAAGGCTGGTTTTAAACTTGGGATCTTTCTGTCTCAGCCTCCTGAGTTGCTGGGATTGCAGGTGTGGGGGCCACCATGCCCCGTTGTATTGTAATTTTTGATAGCACAGACTTCCTGGAGTAGACAGGACTAATGTGGGGATCAGAAAATCTATAGAGAAAAAAAATCCACCACACACACACAAAAAGTATAGGTTGAATCCACCACACAAAAAAGTATAGGTTGAATCCACCACCACAAAAAAAAAAAAAAAAAAAGTATAGGTTGAATTGCAGGACAGCAAGGGAAGGTTACAATCATAGCTGTGAGGATGAAGATGGAGACAGAAACTGCTGCACCTAGAAAGCATTGATAAAGCTTGAAGATTTACCCTGGGGCTTGTCAGGAGTCGGTTGACATGAACATCATGAAGACATCTAGAAGAAGAGTATATGCTATCAATTAACCATTGATTACCAGAGCCTGTGCAGATATTTTAGAGTCATTATTTCATTACTCCCCAATTTTTGACTAGTTTGTATCTTCACTCTACCCAGGAGAGGCTGAAATTTCTAAACCCTTGACCACATACCTAAAAAAGGCAAGATTTGAACTCAATCTAATTCCCCGAAGCTTTCTCATAATCACTGTGCAATAATGCTCGTTCAGCTGGATCAAACAGAGATGGTGGTAAGAAATTAGATTCAGGTGAGGTAGACCTAAAGTTGGGAACCGGGCATAGATTTCAACACATGATATTTTGCCAGAGGTGCACTGGGGTTACCCTGTGATTACATCTAGCAGCACTCAGATTTCCCCTTGTAAGTTCTAAAGCTTTACCTCCCTATAAACCTTACAATCCTCTTGTCTGCTAGGAGGGAGTCTCCACCCTTAACTGGGGAAAAAGTACTGCTAAGACTGCTCTTATGTGACATGACAGCAAGGGAAGTGAGAAGAGAGATTAAACCATGTAAGAGAGGTGAAGGGGAGACAGAAGACTCAAGAGTCTAGTAATTTTCTATGCATTTTCTTCAGTACATTGACCTTTTTTGGGTTCTTGAAACTGACAGGGGCTATATCATGTTCATTCTTGTCCCCAGTAGTAAATAATACAGTGGCTTGAATAGAATAGGAAATGAATAATTGCTTTTGGATGGAATTCTTGCTAGCAGATACGTAGATTTGGGCTGCTTACACACACACACACACACACACACACACACACACACACACAGATATACAAATATATTCCTAGTTTGGGGCAATTTCTTTATGTTCTAAGCTTTGGAAACTTCAGAATAAAATTAGGTATATGTAAATGCTCAAAAAGAATGATACATTTTAACTTCCGTCAGGTAGACAAAATGTTGGGAAAACATTAATTTCTCCCAAATTATTTTATAATTTCTTTGGACCAAGAGATTTTTGATATATTGTATCCAAGAAGAGAGCAGCCCCTCAGTGTCAACAAAAAGCTGAGCCAAATGACATTCTATATTCTGCTCAGTTCAGCCTTTCCTTCAGAATCCTATCTGTGCAACCGGCAGCTTTCACTTCAGGAAAGGAGAATATAGATGAATTAATGAGAACAGAGTTAGCATAGGTCTCTCTCAACAATTTATGGCAAGAAAATTAAAATAACCTGTTGATCCTGCACATTAGCATTGCTGGCTCTTTGCTCAAACCCTTTAGGATTAGTTTAAGCTCATAGGGATAAATAGGCATAAATAAAAATGTATTTTTCCCATCTTTCATTTCACAAAGAAAGTAAATCTCCTTCCCTATTTTATCTAGCTTTTATTGTTCTTGAGAAGAAGGGGAATATAAAATACTAGTTTAAAGAGTGTGAAACTTGGGTCTGGGGTTGTAGCTCAGAGGTAGAGTGCTTGCCTAGCATGCATGAGGATTCGGTCCTTAGCACCACATGAAAATAAAGATATTGTGTCCACCTATGATAAAAAAATAGAGTGTGAAAC